ATTATTATTTTTGTCATTAATAAAAATTAGAGTCATCATTGAATTAGTACCATTGATATCGTTATTCGTCATCTTCTTTTTAGAGTTTTCAGTTGTTATCTCGTCCTCTCTCAGTCGCTTTTCATATTGCTTTGTTTCAAACTCGACTAAGTTTAATTAATTTCTCTTCTCTGGTTCCTTTGTACCTATCAACGTAAATGAACGAGATCCTGAGTACAACAATTCTTCCAATGAGGCTCTCACCGGCATCTTTGTCTTCTTTACTAAATTTGACTTGACACAGTCATATTCTGAAGACGATATGAATTTCTCTTTTACAGTGACGAAACAAAAGATGAGTAGTTGGTCATGGTTAGTACTTACTCTGATACCATTTAGAACGTCATGTATCTCTTCTTTGTATGATATTGTCTGCTTTAAGCATGAGTTCGGACAATTTTGCTTTTGGATCGACCCCAAAAGGCCTTCTTATTCACCTCTGAATCCTCTCATTTCTCTTTCGCATACTTTCTTATTACGTTTAAGAGATTTATCTCGTCATCTTCGCTCCATACTCTCATAAAAGGAAGATTATTATTCTTATCATTATTAATAATTAGAGTTATCATCAAATCACTACCGTTGACATCATTGTTCTTTATCTTCTTTTTCGAGTCTTCGGTTGTTGTCTCGTCCTATCTCGGTCGCTTTTCTGACTGCTTCATTTTCAACTCAACTAAGTTAATTAATTTCTCTTCTCTTCCGTCTTTGTATCTGTCATGATAGAGGAATGAGATCCTGAGCTAGATGATTCTTCTAATGAGGCTCTCATCGGCGTCTTTGTCTTCTTCACCGAGGTTGACTAGACGGAGTCATATTCTGAAGATGATAACTTCTTATTGGATGGATTTCTCTTTCTTAACGACGAAATAGAATATGAGAAGTTGGTCATGATTAATACTTATTATGATACTATCTAAAACGACCAACACTCTTACTTAGTATAATATTGTCCACTTTGGGCCAGAGTCTACACGATTTTATTTTTAGTTGCACCTTAAAAGGCCTCATATCATTGGAAGATGGTATCTTTCTAAGGACTTGGGCTTCCATCTTAAATGATCAACCTGTTAAGTGAGATGATCTAATGTCCTTATAAGTTGGTCTTTATTCTTATGTTTAGACGATGTGGGAGTCATGATCATTTTACCTTTTACAAATTGCTCCCATACTTTAATAATTACACTGTTAGTTTAATTTAAATTTTAGGCTATAACTATTCAACCTAAAAAAAAGCTTAATATTGTCTCTAAAAATACTTATTAGTCCATCACTTCTTATCCATCGACTTAAATACTATACACACATTATATTTTCTCTAACTAAAATAATGTTTTCTCTCGTTCCTTAAGTTGTTATATGTATCCATCAAAAATTGAATAGTTGTTAAATTTTATATGTCCGGCAAATGACTTAAGACTTAAAGTACATTAAAATATGTAAGAAATGTGTTCAAATTTCAAAATCAATTAACAATGTTTGGTTGATATTCACACTTATACACACATTATATTTTCTCTAACTAAAATAATGTTTTCTCTCGTTCCTTAAGTTGTTATATGTATCCATCAAAAATTGAATAGTTGTTAAATTTTATATGTCCGGCAAATGACTTAAGACTTAAAGTACATTAAAATATGTAAGAAATGTGTTCAAATTTCAAAATCAATTAACAATGTTTGGTTGATATTCACACTTAATATATATATAATCTTTTCATTGCCTCCCCATGTTTTGTTGTTTTTCTTTTTTTTTTTAACTTTCTTCCTTTCTTTCTTTTCTATTATTTTTAAACTATCTCCTTTTGTTATTTTTTTTGTTCTTATCTACCTTTTTTACAAAAATTTTTTCTTTTTTATTCTATTATACATGTTTTTTCTTTTTTCCAAATTGACCCTCATAAATATACTTCTTTTTAATTTTTCATTTAATCAATTAACAATGTTTGGTTGATATTCACACTTAACATATATATGGACGAATATTGAATGGTTATATTATATATATATATATA